AAAAAGTTAAGTGAAAATTCTATATTCCCAAACTTGTTTTTGAAAAATCAGCATGGACTCTAGTGGAAGCATCTTTTTTTTTAAAAAAAGTATTTCTTAGCTCTGTCCACTGAAAAAAGCTTAGAAACAAGAACCAAACCAGTAGCCATGAACAACCAAATTCTGGAGTTTTAATGCTGTTTTCCACTAAAGGAAACCAGGACTCCTTGAAAAAAAATGGCTGATTCTAGGCCTTAAATAAAAAATGTACAAGCTGAGCATGGAACACCTTGTCTTTCTAGAAAGCAAGGAAAATATCAAGGACTCTATGGGGAGTGCTCAAAAGACTTGGGAACTGATTTGAAGGAGTTCCCACTGGATAAAGAAGGGACAATAAGCATCAAAGTGAATGGTAACTGCAGTGAATTGATTCATAGCAATTATATTAAAAGTGTGAATGCATAATGACACCAAACAACAACAATCACAACAATTAAAAAAATAAAACTTCTTTGGGTTGCCTTGGAGAATATGAGGGATGTGACTCATTTTGAAAAGCAGTAAAATAACAGAATCAAGTATCCATCTGCCTTTACTGTATAAACTCTATTTTGGGTAACCAAATTGTTTACAAGGGAAATTTCTTCTTTATGGTGGCATTCTCACTAATAAGTGCAGCAAGAATAAAAGAACTAGATTAATGACATTTTATAATCCTAATGCATGGAGCCAAATAGCTACTAAAACCATTAGGTGAAAAGTTAATGGAAACCTTAATAATGGATGGATATGGATGGGTATGGATAACACATGGACCACTGATCAATCTTAACATCTGTAAACAAATCCAAAGGGCACTGGAGTGAAAAAGGAGAGACTTTATTTAGGTAATAGTTTGCAAACCAGGGGAGAGGTAGCCTCGGGTAGAAACCAAAAGTTTGCTCCGCTGAGACAAAGGAGAGATCACCTTTTATAGGGAATTTTCTTACAGTTCCCATTTTGGTCCGTTTCATATAAATTAAGTTTCCAAATTGTACAGTTCTGATTGGTACAAATCATGCAGTTCCAGTTGGTTGGTATAGTTGCAAATGAGGATACAATTTGCGTAGTTCCGATTGGATGAAACAGTTCTTAGCCCCTACAAGTCCCTTGGTCAAAAGATGAAACCAGGGCTTCCAAGCAGTGGTTGACTCAGATGGCATAAAAATGTGGGACATAGTGCGTGACGCAGTGTGTTCAGTGTGAGATTTTTCTTGGTATACAGAGTAAGGAGAAGTCCCTGTCGGCAAACGGCCCTTAGGCTCTTATTCTTTATAAAATGTGGGCCTTCGGTTGACCATGGGGAGTCTACCTCAGCAGATAAATTCTTTCTCGGAGACATCATATGAATCTATCTTCTTGGGGTCCACACATCCAGAAAGGGACAGCCAGACATTCTGTGCTTTGTGAGATCTTGCAATAGGATATAC